GGACCACATGGCTCATGTTTCCTGCTTCCCCGGCTCATTATGAGGCTTTGGCGTAGGGAGCGGCCTGCCTGGTGCCAGACACTGATTCCATGCTTGCTGAAGGGGAGCGGGGACCCTCCCGCTCTGGATCCCACCAGGGGACCCGTTCAGATCTGCACACTGTCCTTGTCTTGCTGGCTGTCCCGGGGCCTGGGGAGATGTGGAGGTCTCGGCCCACCGCACTGGGATCCTCACAGGTGCCCGAGTGTCTCTGGGGCATCTGAGCACACGTCAGGGTCCAGGTACAGGAGGCCACAGGGTGGCTGGCCCTGGAGGACTCGCCCTCGGGAAGGACTCAGGTCCCTTCCCATGCACAAGCCTTTTCCTCTCCCCTTCCTAGGTCTGATCTGGGACCTCAGTGCAAAGGGCTGGGACATCTAGGTGTGCAGAGGGAGGCAAGGCCCAGGCCAGGCTGGTGGGAGAATGGGAGGTTGCCTTGGCAGGGCCCGGGCAAGGCCTGGCAGCCGCCAGCCTCTGGTTGCAGGCTCTAGCTTGATTTTTATTATCATTTAGTACAGAAAAATTCCTGAAACCTGAAGTCACTGGGCTGCCCCAGGGGCTGGAGAAGTCTTCTGGGTGAGGGGGAAGGGGCATCAGGTACCCACTGTGGAGAGGGACAGAGGGAGCAGAGGGGCTCACATTGGCAAGCTGTGCTCCCAGAGCGATGGGCACAGCCAAGGGACTGGGGCCGGGCCCGGGGAGGGTGTGGCCCCAGGCTCACCTGTCCTGGCCGGGCATCTCCTGGGAGCTGGAGGTGATATGGTATTTCCAAGTCTGGTTTGGTCTGAAGCCACTTCAGGGGTAGAGGTGTAGCTGCTAGCATCCTGCTCCTGCCCCAGGGGAGAAACAGCTGCCTGACCCCTACCCTGGCCTCTGACATTTGTGGGAGCCAGGTCCTGTTGTCCTGTGTGAAGCTGATCTGTCCCCACTCCCAACCTTCTTGTGCCTACCCCATATCTGCCTGCACACCCACAGGTGCCCTCCCCCCACCCCTCTCTCTCTCACACACACACACACACACACACACACACACTGTACATGCACACCCCCTGCCCTCTGCAGGTGTTGCCTCCTCCCCAGCCCACATCCTCCCCTCCCAAACCCTCTTGCTGGGTTCCAGGTGGGTGTTGGAGGCCGCTGATTCCGGCTGCGCAGCTGGAAGCAGAGTTGGGCCTTCTGTGTCTCCCTGCACCCCATGAGGGCTGTTGGCAGGGAGCCTAGGTGGGCAAGACCTGACTTGTACCGGAGCTGGGCTCCAGGGCTCCCTCCTTCCCTGCTCAGCTCCTGGCCCCCTCCCACCCTGCTTCTCTTACCATCCTTCCTGCACTGGTACCCTGCTAAATGCTGGGCAAACCTCGAAGGAGCCTGACGAGTCTCCGTGAAAGGTAGGGAACAGGCAACTTCCTGGCTCCTGGTCCTGGCCCTGCCCTTTGGCGTAGAGCAAGTCCCCTCCCCTCTCTGACTTTCTCTAAAACAGAGCTCCTGGTGTTTCTCCAGGCTGTAAGCGTGGTCCCCAAGCCTGTGCCTCGTCAGTCAATGGGACACTTTCGAGAGCCAGGCCCCTGAGACCTGGTGTACAGGGGTGTGGATCAGCATTGTCGTGCAGTCCCTGGCCCTTTCTGGGCATCTGGGGGCACACCGTGGTGGTGAGGGCCTGTGGTGTAGGGGTGGCTGTGAGCCAGCAGCAGAAGAGGGCTTGGTTCTGATGCGGATGGGCAGTGGGGTGGAGCTCCTCAGAGTCTGTCTCACGTGAAAGCCCGAGCTGGACGTTTCCAGGAGAGAAGGCATTCCCGGCAAGGGAACAGGGTCTAGGGGTGACCTGCATCCACTCGGGGCTGACCTGGATCACAGTGCACAGGGAAAGGGAGGCCCTGGGAAGGGTTAACCCAGCCTGGAAGTCCGGGCCGCCTCCGAACTTCCACCTCCATCCTCCGAGGAAATGAGTTTTCCAGGAGCTGGGCTGAGCCGGCGGTGACTGGTGGCTGCACACAGGTTGGCAGAGGAAGTGACTCAGGCCCCCCGGGGAGAAAGTGAGACCTGAGTCCCCTGGCATCCGTGCAGAGGGCAGGGCTGAGGAGGACCCCTTCTCCTGGGCAGCCAGCCTCTGTGGCCATGGGTGTCTCAGCTCAGGAGGTTCCGGGCTGTCCTTGGCCCTGCGGGACCCTTGGGGACCCTGATATGGTGGTCCCCATTGTGTCGGCCTGGATCAACTTGTTCTGGTCTCTGTGTGTTTACGGAAGGCCTGAGGTCAAGGTCCATGGCTCGGAAAGGAAACTTGGGGTGGAGGGCTCAGCCACGCAGCCTCCCTTCCAGGATGGAATTGGTCGTGCTGCCTGTAGTCTTTACTGCTCCCCACTTTTCTCTGCTTCTTTGGGTGGACCCCAAAGCCTAGGGTAGGCGGTTATCTTGGGACCTTCACCCACACCACTGGCCTAGCAGTAGGGAGGGCTCAGCCCCAGCCCCAGGGGACCTGGGAACAAGGAGCCTCTCCCTCGCCTTGGCTTGGGGGTCTCTGACCTGATGAACTTGGGGGACCTTGAAGATGTTATATGATGCTATGGATGTTGCTGCTGCTGTAATCATCTGGGTGGTGCTGCTGATCCCTCGCCTCTGATACTACCCGGGCTCTAGCCAGTGGTCTGGGAGGCGGACAGGGCCTTGCTGTCACCTGACACTTAGTCTTAAGATTTCTAATGGCCAAGGCCAGCCAGTACTGCCTTCCTCATGGAGGCCAGAGACAGGTTCCTAGGCCCATGGGTTCTGGGGTTCAGTCTCTAGACCGTGGGCCCTTCCTTCCTGGCTGGGCTAGCTGATAGGCACAGGGCTGATCTGGTCCCTCTGGAAGCCCTGCTCTAGGTACAGGGGCTCCATCATGGGCCGATGTGGACAGGATAGTACCCTCCTCTGCCTGGTCTGTGTCTGGCATCCTCTTCTGGTCCCCAGCCCAGCTCTCTTGTCCCCTGGGGCTTCTGCAGACATTCAGGCTGTCAGCGGGGAGGGAAGTTTCTAGGTGGGGTTCCAGCCCCGATCCACGCACAGGAAAGCAGGCTTCATGCTCCAGGAATTTCCCCTTGAGGCCTGGGAGGCTGAGTGGGGCCACCTGGGAGGATAGGGGTGGGGAAGGGGGAGGAGATGGAAGCGGGACGTGTGATAGGCCTGGGGTCTGGTCAGAAAGGACACAGAGCTGTTAGCTGCCCCCAATGGATATCAATTAACTTAACTCCCATGATTTAATTTCCTCTTTGAAGTTGAGAAAAATGAGGCCCAGAGATGATGAATTACTAGCCCAAAGACATATGGCTAGTAAGTGTGGGAGCCGGGATTTGAACCCAGATAGCCTGTCTCCAGAGTCCACCTCATTAACGGCATTAATGGGATCCAGGCAGCCCTTCCTCACTGAACCCTGGGAGTGCTGATGGGGACAACATTGTTCTCTTTGCAGTGGCTAAAAGTAGCCTGAGTGGAATAGAGTGAGCCAGGAACTGTCAGGGCAATGAGCCCCTAGTTTCCATCTGAATTCCTTCCGGGACATCCAGTGGGGTTGCAGCCTTGCTTGCACCCCTCCAGTGACAGGGAGCTCACTCCTGCCAAATTCTGGAGGGGCTGCTGCACAGTAGGCAGTTCTGCCCTGTCCCGGGGGCTTGTTGACCATCGTGGTGGCTCCCTTTGAAGGTTCGTGGCCAGAGAGACACATGACTTCCAGCCAGGTCCACCCCTTCTTGTTGTGTGAGCCCAGGAGACCAATGGCCCTTTCTGGGGTTCAGATTCCAAAATCCCCAAATGGAGAGTGTGGACCAAATCCATGATGAAGTTTGTGAGCTTCCACTTCACCAGTGAAAAGCAGGGGGCCTGCCTGGAAGAAGTGACATTTAGCAGGGGAGAGGGGGCAGCAACAGAGGCTGGCAGAAAGGAGAGGAAAAGGGGGCTGTAGCAGGGCACCCCTGTCCCTGGACACTGGGTTCCTTCTGCGGGGCCAAGGCAGTTTGAAAAGGAACCCAGTGCTGAGGGGGGACTCAGAGTGAAACCTTGGAATCACAGCCCCAGTAAAGCAGTCCTTCCCTACAAAGCGCTCATGCTTTCTGAAGGCCCCAGGATGCTCCAGGCAAGATGGCGAGACCACAGGGCTTCGGAAATTGGGGTTCCATTCCTGCACTGGGACCTGGGGGACTGGCTTTTGCTCAGAGAGGCTAGATTGGCTTGAGGGAGGCCTGGTCCAGGAAAGCGATAACAACATCCTGCTTGGGCCATTGCTGCCTTTAACAGTGCTCTCAAATATTCGGTCCTTCTGTGTTTCTCTTCTGAGAAGTCCTTCTTGGTTTCTCCCACACTCAGATTCCTTGAGTGTGCCCAGGTTGCCAGGTTTCCTTTCTTTTGGTTTGTGGCAGATGATTGCATCTGTCGTTACAGTCAGATGAGCTTTCCACAAGATGAGGATGGCTGGCTGGCTCTTTCAGCACCCAGATTGGTCACCAGGCCAGCTGATGGTAGAGAGGGCCAACCCACCTGGTATCTTTGTGGGCACCAACCACTGCAGTCCTGCCCAAGTGGGGAAGGCAGGTCATTTAACCCCTCTGGCCTCAGGTTCCCCATCTGTGCAATGGGCCCACTGTGGTGCCCATCTCCCAGCCTAGAGAGTTTATGCAGGTGGGGGTGTCATGCAGCAGCGTGGAGGCTGCTGGATAATAGGTGCTCAACTAATAGCGGTCATGGGCGGTCGGGAGAGTGGGGGTAGCTGGGGCTTCTTCCCGGCTTTGAGTCACTCCAAGTCACCTTCTAATTTAGAATCGCCACTTCTGCTCTGTTCTGGCCCTCTCGACCGACTCCCCCTGGAGGTCAGGATGGGAAGCGCCCTTTCCCTCTGGCCCCTGTAGAGGGCGCCATGGCCGCGCTGACCCCACATTGCTGTCCCTGCAGAACCGCCCAGTGGCCCAGCTCCCAGCTAACACTGTGGTCTCTTCCAGGTGGTGACTTCTCGGGCTGGCTTCTGGGTGGGACAATGGCTGTCCAAGTGCCCCTGCTCGTGGCACTGTCTCTGCTGAATCTGCTCTTCCTGGCTCAAGGTAGGCCGTCCAGGGGCCCTGGGACAGTTGCTGGGACTCACGTTCACTACCGTGTGCCTAGGGCAGCTGCCCCGCTGTGCACAAACCCCTTGGGCAGGCTTGCTTAGCCGCTCAGTAGCACCTTGGAGAAAGAAAAAGGCTCCTCCTCCTCTGACAGACGCCACCCCACAGAGCACAGCTCAGAGTGGAAATATGGGTTGGATCTCAGCCCCTCTCAAGCAAGCATTTTTGAGCAGTGCACAAATCATGCAGCAGTTTGTGGCATTCATTAAATGCTTTATTGCTATTAAATTATTTTGGCCTTTGAAGTTATTTATTTTCAGTGTTCTCTTTCAGATTTTGAAGCCAGTAAATTTTGAGCAAGGCAGACTTCCATTTTTGTAGACCCTTTCATGTATAAGCCTTTAGAGTGCACGCACGGCCCAGGCTCTGCACTGGTCTTGTCCCCTCCCAAGCTCCTGGCTGGTGCCTGCCTCGGGGGTCCCATTTGCAGCCTCTGCCTTCCCAGGTGTCCATGGTTGTGGCCCCCGAGAAGACTTCTGCTTCTGCGGCCAGCGGAACCAGACACAGAAGAGCAGCCTCCGTTATGAGTGGACGCCAGAGCGGCACATCACCATCAGGAACTCAGAGGAGGCCCTCGTCATCCACGCTCCCTTCCCTGCAACCCTGGAAGTGTCCTGGCCCTTCCCGGAACCCAGGGGCCTCTACCACTTCTGCCTCAACTGGAACCGCCATGCTGGGATGTTTCGTCTTCACTACGGCAGGCACAACTATGTGCTGAGCAGCAAGGCCTCCGACCTGCTCTGCTTCCGGCACCAGGAGGAGAGCCAGGCCTGGGGACCCCCGCTGCTTGCCACCTCCGTCAGGTCCTGGTGGAGTCCAAAGAACACCAGCCTGCCCAGAGCCTCAGGCTTCACCTTCTCCTTCCATGGTACAGCAGCTGCTGGGCAGAGGGCTGGAGGAGGGAAGGCAGGTGCAAGGCAGGCTGGGAAGTGAACTCTAGATCTGTGGGCCACGGGGCTGGGCTTTGTTCCCAGGCAGTGGGAGCCATGGAAGGTGTCAGAGGAGGGGAGGAGTGAGGGCCAAGTTGAGCTGCAGAAGCTGTGTGGGGGACAGGGGAGAGGGTTGTTGGGCAGGAACCTGTGCAGAGTCTGCAGAGATGGAGGAAGAAGAGGAGGAGGAGGAGGAGGAGGAGGAGGAGGAAGAGGAGGAGGAGAAGCAAGCGGGGTGGGGAGAGAACAGAAAAACAGAGAAATTCTCCATCAGCACCCACGTGCAATGCTTTTCCCTGTTATAATTTAGGGTCTGTGGGATGAATAGTGCCCCTCCAGTGATCAGGGAAGGATGGGATGGAAAGAGAGATATAACTGTATACAAGTCCTGGGGCCTGCGCATCCGGAGGCCACACACACCCAGGCATATGCATACACACACATACACTCGCAGGCACATGCAGGTTAGGGAGCCCCTGGGGAGAGAGGACACTGGGACGCTTCTACTGGAGTCCACAGCACTAGGCAGATGGATTCTTCTCAGGTGCTTCAATTGGCGGGTTTAAGGCAGCTGACCCGAGTTCCTGGAGGTCAAGGGGACACAGATCTCAGGGACCCCACTGAGTTCCCGGGAAGAGAGCAGAGCTGGCCTGACCTTCGGTGTGGGGAAGTCCAATTCCATCCAGAATGGGTGTTGAGGCAGCAAAACCATAGATATTCACTGGAATATCTCCAAGGAGGAAACTGAGGCTCAGAGAGACTGCCCACAGGGCACAGCTGACAGGTGGAGGAGTTCGGAACTGAATCCAGTGGCTGAGTGGCATGGAGAGGGGAAGCAAGCAGGTCAAAGGTCCAGAAAACTGGAGGCAGATGTTGGAGTCTGGGGACCGCATCTGCCTGGTGTGACAGCTGTGCAGTGGCCTCTGCCTCCCTCCCACGCCTGCTGAATGGGGCAGGGAGGTGGGGGCATGGCAGAGGGTATGTGAGCTTCCCTGCGATTGTCCTCCTGGGACTGCATGCGTGTGTTCACCTGTGTGCGTGTGTGTGTGTGTGTTGAGACAGGCTCTCACCAAGTTGCTCAGGATGGGCTCTGTGAGACTGAGGCCCTTTTGGCTGCCTCACCTCCAAGTGGCCTGGGGAGTCGCCACCAAGTCTCAGAGCCTCGCTTTCTTGCGCGATTGTCCTCCTGGGACTGCATGCGTGTGTTCACCTGTGTGCGTGTGTGTGTGTGTGTTGAGACAGGCTCTCACCAAGTTGCTCAGGATGGGCTCTGTGAGACTGAGGCCCTTTTGGCTGCCTCACCTCCAAGTGGCCTGGGGAGTCGCCACCAAGTCTCAGAGCCTCGCTTTCTCCTTCTGTAAGATGGGTTAGAGGCACAGAGGATCACAGCTTCCTTCTGTCTGCAGATCCCCCTCACAAAGCCTCCTCCAACGCCTCGGTGGACATGTGCGAGCTGAAGAGGGACCTGCAGCAGCTCAGCCAGATCCTCAGGCTGCCGCAGAAAGCCTCACGCAAATCGCCGGCCACCTTTGCCAGCCAGTGAGTGTGGTCAGGGAGAGGGGGCCAGTGGGGGGCCGAGGGAGGCTCCCTGGGGCTGGAGGGGTCTCTGGACTTGCCATCTTTCCATCTCCTGGAGCGGGTGACACATAGTCACCAAGCTGAGCCCTGAGCCCCTGTGGATGAGCAAAGACGGACACAGCTGGCCAGCCAGCCACCCAGGCCTCTTCCTGCCAGCCAAGAGCAGTGACTGGTCCATTCCAGGGCTTGGCAGAGAGGCTCAGAGACTCAGGGGGTGCTCCATGGCCACAGGGGATCAGGTGGGCAGAACCAGCCAGAACCCCGTGCTGAGTCCCAGGACAGTGCCACCTCATCCTGTCCCTCCCCTGTCCTGTTGATCTGAGGCCTGGCCACATGGTCACCTTTGGCTTCAGGTCTCTCTCTCCCACCTACTCCTATGTGTGGCCCTCTGTGTGGCCCTTCTGTCCCCTCTCCTCTCTCCTAGACCCCTTCTCCTCTCTTCGCCGTGCCTCCTTCCCATGCACCTGCCTGGCCCCTTCTCTGCCTCAGTTTTCCTGCCATCTCCCGTCTCTCCCCACCAGGCAGCTGCAGAGCCTAGAGTCAAAGCTGTCCTTGGTGAGGTTCCCGGGGGACATGGTGTCCTTCGAAGAGGACCGGGTCAATGCCACAGTGTGGAAACTGCAACCCACAGCTGACCTCCGGGACCTGTATATCCACTCGCGGGAGGAGGTCAGCTGAGCTGGGCTGGGTGGGAATGGGGTCTGAGAGTTCAGCGCCCTGAGGTGCAGTGACCCCCTCAGTCTGTCCCCTGGGCCCCAGGAAGTGGGTCCAAGGCCACCTTCTTCAGTGCCCACTCACCCTCGGCACTGAGAACTCATCTGGGCATAGTGTGGGGGGAATGGAGGTGTCAGCTCACCAACCAGGGCTCCTGGGCACAGGTGTGTGAACAGCAGGCCAGTCCCCATGCCTGGCCGTACACCCCATCTCGAGACTGCCCTTTGGGGGTACTCAGCTAGCTGGAGGCCATGTGGATCTTGTGCTGACTCCAGGGCTCTGACCACAAGGCTCCCTGGCCATGGCCAGTGCTGAGGGAGGAGGAGCAAGGGCACCATGAGCCAGGCAGGATGTGGGCTCAGGGCCAGCAGTGTCCAGAAGCGGGTGTGTATTGCAGGGGAACCTGGGGGCTTGTGTTCGGCTGAACCCTAAGGGAACCCTGGTCTGCAGGAGGAGCAGAGCGAGGTCCGGGAGTACTCGGTGCTGCTGCCCCGTGTGCTGTTCCAGCGGGCCAAAGGCCGGCGCCGGGAGGCTGAGAGGAGGCTGCTCCTGGTGGACTTCAGCAGCCAAGCCCTGTTCCAGGTGTGAGGTCTCCCCATCACGTCTGCCCCTTCCCGCCCACCCTGGGGAATCAGGTTTTGTCTACAGAGAGATGGAGAGGGTGCCTGCAGTCAGCTCCCTCCTCCAGGGCCACAGCCAGTCCTGGTCAATCAGAGATTGGATTGCAATGTTCAGACCTTCCTGGGAGAGGTCTCATCTGTGTTGTTCTCACTGCATTGGGAATGACTTCACACACACGTGCATGCACACGCGCGCACTCACACACACACACACACACACACGAGTTGATTCCAAGGAGGAGGACGATGAGGGGTGTAAGGGCAGGTAATAGGGGGCATGAATGTAATAAAATGTGTTATACACATTGAGCTCCTCCCCGACATGTGAGACTCAGTGTGGGAGTGGGGTGTGTCGGTTAAAGTGTGTTATGTGAACACACAAATCCGCCCAAGTAAAACCCTCATTCTGTGAGACCGGTATGCGCTAATCTTAAATGTGTGTGGGGGGAGAACTGCCTTCAGAGAGGACGTGTGTGGGGAGAGACTTCTCAGCCTCACTCTTCCACCAACCCTCTGTGTCCAGGACAAGAATTCCAGCCAAGTCCTGGGTGAGAAGGTCCTGGGCATCGTTGTGCAGAACACCAAAGTGGCTGAGCTTCCGGAGCCCGTGGTGCTCACCTTCCAGCACCAGCCGCAGCCGGTGGGTGTGCCGCTCTTTGGACAGGGCCTCCTGGGCTTGGGTCCCTCTGGACCTAGGTCCCCACTGGGCCCGGTCTCCTTGGGCCTGGGTCCTCCTGGGCTGGGGGTCCTTGCCTCCCTTCCTGTGCTACCAAGCCATTGCCAGACAGGTCCAGCGTGGGGTTGGGGGGATGGCCCATCCCTGTCCTGAGTGTATTCTGTGGGACCAGGAAGGGGTGAGCAGGTTGTGGGGCCCACACTCCCCTTCTTGTCCCCACAGAAGAACGTGACTCTGCAGTGTGTCTTCTGGGTTGAAGGCCCAACGTGTGAGTGTGGAGGGCCCATGGGGCAGAAAGCACTGGGGATGGGGGAGGCGGAGTGCACCAGGGAGAAGGCCAGGGATCTGCTGGGTGGGGCAAAGGCTGGGAAGAGGCCCAGCCTGCACTGGGGGAGGAGCAAGATGGGGTCCTGGGCTCTGGGGCTGACAGGAACCCCGTGCTGTCCTCTGCAGTGAACAGCCCGGGCAGCTGGAGCAGTGCTGGGTGTGAGACCCTCCGGAGAGAGACCCAGACATCCTGCCTGTGTGACCATCTAACCTACTTTGCCGTGCTGATGGTGGGTGACCCTGCCTGCAGCCACACTGCTGACCTAGTGTTTGTCCTGTGCCAGGCACCTGCCCCTCCAAGGGAGCTCCTGCTGCCCCATTGTATAGATAAGGAAATACTGAAGCTCAGAAAGCCTAAGTAATTTACCTAAGGCCACACAGAGTGTTAACAAAAAAGTGGCTTTGTGAAGCCCTTGCCCTAATACCCAGATTTCAGCTTGGGATAAAAATGCAGATTGCTGCTTCTAACCCACAGGGCTGGGTCAGCACTGTGTTTCTAAGCCCTGACCAGAACTGGAGCCTGGCACAGAGGTCAAAAGGTAGGCTCCAGGGCTCTCAAGATCTTATGGGGCTTCATGTCCCAAATTTCTGTTTCCAAAGTCCCTTGGGCTTGGGATGTATACTTCCTGTGGGAAATGGATTCTAAACATCATAGAAGCATTTAGATATTGCTCTACTTACAGTGTGGTCACATCCACCCCAATAAACCCACAGCAAGGCGAAGATGTACTGGATTCAGCTGAACTGCCTACCTGCACAGTGGGTGGGGGTGAGGTGGGGGCTCCCCATTGGGGTCATGGGGCCAAGGAGCATAGTTCAGTGCTGCTGCCCATCCCCGGGGGCCCAGGAAAAGATCAAATTCAAACTTCCAAGTGCAGTTTCAGTGGACTGCTTTTGCATACCTGCAGGGCTGTAAGGATCCTGTCAAACCATCATTGGTCAAGGCCCATCTGTCCTTCATGCTGGGCCAGCACCGGGATTCTCTAATGAAGGGCTCATGGCCTTTGTGGGCCTCGGACTCCCTGTGGAACTGGGGAAGCCGTCGGTCCCTCTGGAACCTGTGCTCAGGGCCCCAGGGCTGCTCGGGTCAGGGGCTTTCCATTCCCCGCCCTCCCAGGGTGACCAGCAGTTTAGAGCTGACACTGAGACGCCGCCTATCCCTCAGGTCTCCTCTGTGGAGGTGGACGCCGTGCACAAGCACTACCTCACCCTCCTGTCCTACGTGGGCTGCGTCATCTCTGCGCTGGCCTGCATCCTCACCATCGCCACCTACCTCTGCTCCAGGTAGGGGCTGGTGGCTAGGCGGGACGGTGGGGAACAGTTTCCATTTTGCCCGCAGGACGGGACCCCGGGGCCAATCTTCCCCAGGAATGGTGCTCCTGTTGGACCCCAAGATGAGGGGGTGCTGGGAAAAGCCCGGGTATAGCTGCTGACCCCAGGGGGCCACGTTTAATGTGTACATCTGAGGTTTTTGGGTAGACTCTCATTTATACATTTTAGTTCCTGGCCAGCATTTCATTGGGAGAGCTCTCATTAGAATCCCTATTTCTGCCTTCAGTGATCAGCTGTGAGACTGAGGGGTGCACCAAATTTTGCAGTGGTGATGGAAGTGATGATAGTGAACACTTGCATCAGACTTTCCACACTTTTCAAGTATCAACTTGGTTCAGCCCTCAACTGGCCTTTGCAAGAGGGCTCAGAGAGGGTAACTGGCTTGCCCAGATCACATAGCAAGCACGCAGCCAAACTTTTCAGATTGTTGATGCTTTGCTGAACCTGTTTGGGTAGTGGAGACATCCTTGGTTCTGGAGCACACCCAAGGTGTCCTCAGTCAGGAAGGAGGGAGAACTGAACCATGTGCAGGTGTGCAGGAGCACATGTGTGCACGCATGACCTTGTCTGTGTGTCTACAGATGTCCCCTCTAGGGGCTAAGCTGGTAACCATGACAAGGAAGGAGTCAATGGGCCGGGGCAAGGCGAGGTGGGGACAGAAACCTAATGGATCACAAACGTGCCCAACAACACAGGGTCAGGAGCCATACAAACTGAAGTCTCCCCTGCACCAGACACTCACCCTGACCCCATGAGGGACCCTCCTTCCTTTCACAGAGGAGTAGGCGGAGCATCCAAGCCCACGGAACAGCCCAAGGAGGTGCCTGAGCTAGGGGAGGAGGGACTTCCTGGATGGCAAAATGCACAGGGAGCTGAGCACACAAGCTTTCAGGACAGATGTACCCACTCTGCACTCACAGACACACAGCTAGAGAGGCAGGCACAGACCCTACCATCCAGCGAAGGCGCTTGCCTGGCCCACCATCCCGGCTGACCTGTCTCCCTCCTCTGTTGACCATATGTGTGGTGAACCCATGTCCTGTAATCTCAGCACTCTGAGAGGTCAAGGCAAGAGGATTAGGTCCAGCCTTAGCTTCCTAACAATTTAGCGGGAGTCTGTCTAAAAAAAAAAAAAAAAAAATTAAAAAGGGCTACAGATGTGGCTTAGTGCAAAGGGCTTGGGTTCAATTTCTAGTACTGCAAAAACAAAACAAAACAAAACAGAAAAAAACTTAGGTTCCTGGACTAGGGGCACAGTGGCAGGTTCCAGGTGTGTGTGTGTGTGTGTGTGCGTGACTCTGGCCCACCTCTCTGCACTCCCACCTGCAGGAGGAAGCCCCGAGACTACACCATCAAGGTGCACATGAACTTGCTTCTGGCCGTCTTCCTGCTGGATGTGAGCTTCCTGCTCAGTGAGCCAGTGGCCCTGACAGGCTCCAGGGCAGCCTGCCGTGCCAGTGCCATCTTCCTGCACTTCTCCCTGCTCGCCTGCCTCTCCTGGATGGGCCTCGAGGGCTACAACCTCTACCGCCTCGTGGTGGAGGTCTTTGGCACCTACGTCCCCGGCTACGTGCTCAAACTGAGTGCCGTGGGCTGGGGTGAGTGTGGGTGAGGCCCCCAGAACCTCCTCTCTCTCTCATTTCTGGCTGCGCATAGGCAGCTGGCTCTGCTTCTCCTCTTAGGTCCCCAATTCCCTCATGGTTTCCTTCACCCAGTGGTTCTCTGGGGTCCTTCCCCTGGACTTGGCCAAGGACCCCTTTAGAATGATAAAGTGGTGAGCCCTGTCTCCAGGAAACACTTGCAAGTTCTCTACACTGTTCACTCTGTTAAAGGGGGATTTTCGAGCAGGGCCTCCATGTACAAATGTGCAGGCTTGGGCAGGGGATTTAGCTCAGTGATTCCTTGTAAGCACAAGGACCTGAGTTCAATCCCTGGTACAAAAAAAAAAAAAAAAAAAAAAAAA